CTTTTTAAAGGGAGGGACCCGAGCTGCAGCCTCTCCAAGGCCGAGTACAGGGGATGATCGCTTTGGCTGCGCTGTGCTCGATACGGGCCAGGTTGCCATTGGCGTTTTTGGCCACCTGGGCGCACTGTTGGCTCAGCTGTTGTCACTGTTGGCTCAGCTGTCACCCAGCCCTGCCACGTCCCTTTGTGCTCTCTAACCACCCTCCCCCAGCCTGGAGCTGCCAGGGGTTGCCGTGACCCCAGTGCAGGACCARCACTTGGCCTTGAACCTCGTRYCRTTGTCCTTTACCCATTGATTGATTGATTYGTGTCTCTGCAGAGCCCTCATGTGTGAGGTTCTGTCCTCACACCAATCCTGCTTCGTGCTTGTCTGGTTTTCTGCGCAGCTGAAACACTGGAGAGGTAAAACCTGGAGAGCCTTGAGACTCCATGGCATGGGAATGTTTGTGTGCTGCACTGAGGAGATGGAGCTTTGCGTCTCTGATGGCTTCAACCTCTCAGAATTCTGTTTGGGCTCACATTTACCACCTTTTCCAATATTTCCAGCTGTGCTGCAGCCTTTAAACTGATGAAACTCTGAAACTTGGGGCTCCCAAATTTCTTGCCTAACATGGGCTGTGAGGGGTGAGGGAGCAGGCTCTGCCCTTTTTTCCCCCCTTCTTTTTTCCCCTGCTTCTTACCAGCTTATGGTTCCTCCAGTCGCTGTTAACTTGAGGGCAGAATTCTTGAGGGAAAGAAGAATTGCAGAGGGAATTTTCACCAAGGATGCAGTGATGGAACAAGGTGGAATGGTTTCAGACTGCCAGAGGGCAGGGTTAGATGGGACATTGGGAAGGAATTCTTCCCTGGGAGGGTGGGGAGGCCCTGGCACAGGGTGCCCAGAGCAGCTGTGGCTGCCCCTGGATCCCTGGCAGTGCCCAAGGCCAGGCTGGACAGGGTTTGGAGCACCCTGGGACAGTGGGAGGTGTCCCTGCCCATGACAGGGGTGGCACTGGATGGGCTTTAAGGTCCCCACCAACCCAAACCATTCTGGGATTCTGTTGATCTATGAAGAATCCAAGTCCTATCAGAGCTCCTYCCACACTGGAATAATAAACAAATCCATGGATGCCTTCAAGCTCTGCTCCTTGTCAAACCCACACTTGGGTCCCTGGTCACACATGGAGAAGGAGGAGGGGGAAAATAAGAGAGGATGATTTGTGCACCAAAGGGCCGTGTTTGATGAGAGATGACAAATGTTGGGCAGGATATTTTCTCCAACAAAACCCTGAGGAAACAGGCAAATTCATCTCCTACCGAGGTGACATAGGAGACAGGATGCTAAAGGTGGATCATGCAAAACCTCCTTCCCTGCGAGTGTGAGAGGACTCTGCTGCCCCTTCATCCTTCCTTTTCATCTGGGCCAGGAGTGGAAGGATTTTTCTGCACAGATTTAATCTGTAAAAATGGTGCAGAGATCCATCAGTGAATTCAGAAATCTGACACAATCCTAAACTCTGCCTACTGAAAGGAATGAGAAGGGARTGTCTGTACAAATAAACTGAGTCTGCTGGTAAGATAACACTGATACTGAGAGAAGAAACAATGGGAAAGGATTTTCACAGGAATTCCACTGATTGACTGAGCCCAGACTGGGTTAATGAACTACGAGAGCAGAGACATAGAAAAAGAACTAATGGGGGATGTATATGAAAGGGGGGATGTATATTAGAAGGGGGTGTGCATTAGGAATTTCAGGGAGCCTGTACCTCTCAAGTACCTCAGCCAATGGGGAAAGACAGAGAGAAATGCAGCCAGAAAATTGGGATAAAAGAGGCTTCGTCCTCTATCATGGCCATGGAAATGCCCATGACCTCTCCCTTCATTCACGAATAGTCACAGGACTCCTCTGTCTCCTTTTTGGACATAAACCTCGGGTGTTTGCAGATTAATTTTCCTCACAGCACCATTTATAGCGCATTTCTCCCCTCCTTTCCCTGCCCGCTCTATCCATAGCTCAGCCCTTCCTGCTGTGCCCAGAACAGCTCCCGAGCCTGGGCTGTGGTGGGGCGGGAGGGGAGGATGTCTCACCCCACTTTGGCTGCGGTCTAACGGCTGCTGTTCTTTTCCACAGCCCCTCCCYGTCCCTGCCCCGTGCCCCCAGCCCTGCACGCCCTCCCCACTCGTGCCCCACTTTCCAGAGGAAGCGGTTTCTGTGGTTGGGTGTCGACGGAGCGCCCGTGGTGACCCAGATCTCGATTGTGGCGTCACGGAACTTGTGCTGTGGCCTCTTCCTGCCCCACCTGGGCCCGGAGCCCCTTTYCACCTCCTCTCCTGCTGCGTTATTTCCTGCCTGTGCTTTGCTCTGAGGTTTTTGTATCTCAAAATAAACAAGAAAGTGCAGGAARGGGGGTGGGGGGCATGTTGTGGTGGTGGGAGATTGGCAGCCTGATATCTGAAAGTGGCTTTGAAGCAGTCCTTGCAAATTCAGTGCTTTGCAGGGCACATGCCAAGGGCCACTTCAGTCAGAATATTTAAATCATCTCCCACTTGGCAAATCCTGTCACTGGGGTCGGTTAACCTGGAAGAGGAAAGACTGGGATGTGGAAGGCAGCACAATCCTTAGCTCTTGTTCTTTCATCTGGGAGAGGGTTTGAAGTGCAACATAACAAAATTTAGGATGGATATTAATTTTAAGAAGTGATGCTAACTTTGGAAAGTTTTCTTCCACATCCCTGAAAGTTTCTGGAATGAGGTTAATTGGTTGGAAATCTATRAAATGCAATACTTTATAGGTCAAATACAGTTTAGGAAACTTCTTCAGGCTGTTTCCCAGTGACATGGCAGATGTCATTGTGAGTGGAATGCAGGCTCCAAGAGCTGCCTGGAATCCAGCACTTGAGGAGCCTGGGCTTCCTGCAGCTGGAGAGATATGAGAATGATGGTTGTGTAAAGGGAGAGATGAGAACAAATCCCTGAACATCTGTATTATCAAATAATCAGGGCAATAGACACGGAAAGTTTAAAGTTGTTCCTCGGCAAGAGGGGTCAGTAACTGTCCCCCTGTGACAGGTCACCTGCTYAGGGTCAGCTGCAGGGCCAGGACAGGAGAGCAGGGAGGCTTTGTCGTGTTGCTGCTCAGCAGGGTGGGGTCGCATCCTGGTGTGGTCCCCCCACAAGGGCACCAGGTTTGAATCGTGACCCTTCCTGAAATCAGCTCCTGTGAAGGCTGTGAATGCAGCTGGGTCAGGGACAGTGACCTTCACTGGTCCAGTGAGGCTTCTCCTGCCACTGGGTTTGGGCACTGGTGGCAGGTTCAAGCTTTGCAGGGAGGGTGTGTTGCTGTCAGAGCATCCTCCTCATTTCTCCTCCTCAGAGGAACCTTTGAGGCTTCAGATGTTAAGGTCAGATCAACCTTAAAAAATAATACAACAATTCTGTTTAGGCTTGTTGTTTTTTTTTATTGTGAAAATGAAGGGACAATTTCACTCGATTTGGGGCTTTCTGGAGACCTGCAGCAATATCCTTTAGGAAAAAAATGGATATCTTGCTCTGATCTAACAAAGACTGGCAGGATAGTGCATCCTGGGTAAGTTTCCCTTTGCTATTCAAAGTGTCTCATTTGTACCTGAAAAGGTGTCTGGGGTTGCTCCTTGAGAGATGTGAATACCCTAAAGCTACCAAAATAGGAAAAAACCCACATTCAGGTGATATTTAGCTTGCAGGTTTTAACAAGAAGCACTGCTCCAGGCAGAAGTCATCATTTTAATGTGAGTAACAATAATTGGCAATGTACAGTTATARCAAAGTCTGCTTCATGCAAAAGAGGCACTTTATGGTGAATGCCCCAGGCATCTGGAGAGCAGAATGCTGGCAATGTTTCATTTTCAGTAGTTTTAYAGCAATGCAAATAAAGCAATTTAGAATATAATGGCTGGTGTGATCTGTAAGAACAGCAAGTGATGTTCTTTGCCCAAGGAATATCGCTGTGCTCCCTTTGCTCACGATGGTCTCTCAAGGCTGATGTTTTTGATACTTCAGAACTGCACGAGCTGGTTGCTTTCAGTCCTGTAACAAAAACAAAGCCATGTTAAATCATTATTTGGGTTGCAGTAGTGGCTGCACAATTGTAGAGCTGAAGTGTCCAGGCAAGAGAAAGAGAAGAGACACTGAGCAAAAACCAATATATTAGGATCTACATTAAAGCAAATAAGCATCAAATTTTCCCAGTTGGAGACAGATGAGGGGATAAATCTGATGGATGAATGCAGGCAAGGGGAGGGATGGATGTGGAAATCGAAGGGAGCAATGTCTCAAAAGGAAAAAAAAAATATATGGACAAGGAAGAGCACTTGAGGGGTGGGTGAAGATGGTATGGCCAGAGGGATGGAGGGATTTTACTGCTAGTAGGCAAAAGAATTATGGACAGACTGCATAAATTCCAGAGAGAAGGAGCATTCACAGCTGATGAACCACTCCAGATGTTTTCAGACCCACCAAGCATACTCACTTTTTTTTCCACATAAGCATCGTCATCAGCACATTAAAAATGATTCCTTTCAATAAAACTACTTTGAGGCCCAGCTGTGATAAAGACAGTGTGTTCAAGTGTTCATCTGGAAAGAAAAAAAACCCAACAGAAAATGTGAGTCATAAGAGCACTGAGACATCCTCATGTTCCAGACAGACTTAAAGCCCTAATTAATGAAGCGGCTCTGCTGTGTGATGGAGTCAGGTGCTAGGATAGGAAACAAGACAGGGAACAGGACTGAGAGACTTTAATTTCATCAACAACCACTTAATTATCCAATATTCCAGGCTGCCAGCCATTTTACTGGTTTAAAATACTGTGCATTGTGAGCCCAGGGCACTGGAGGCATCCCTCCTTCCTCTCTCTAAATGTTTTTAAAGATGGGCAGTGGGAATACATTTTTATTTTAATCATAGAACACASTTGTATTTGAATTTTATATTCATTAATTACATTATAATTTTATTTCTAATAATCTGAAGTTACAAAGACATTTATATTTGAAAACATGTTGATCTATGCTGGAGAAGTAGGGAACTGTCAGCAAAAACTCGTTGCATGTTTACCACTGGAAACCTTTCAGAGAGCTGACCAAATCAGCCGTGTTTACTGGTGAGTTTTTTCCTAAAATGRTGTTTTGGAAAGATTTGCAAAAGCACAGCTGTTCGATGAGCAGSGTGAGTGCAGAGCCAGGCTCTGCTCTTTGAAGTGGCACCAACAGAAGATCCTCAGGCTGCAGAGCTGCTCCCAGCCCTCCCCAGCCAGGAGCTGGGGCAAAGCTGCTGTCGCTGCTCCACAGCTTTGGTGCAGCCCTGAGCTATTGTTTCATGAGGTGTTTGTGCTCCCAAAAATAACCCAGCTCTTCTGAAGTCTGAAATGCRAGCGGGGCTGACTCATAGCAGTACCTGAGGTCACTCTGTGGTGGGCAGGAGATCTGGGGGAGTCAGAACCAGAACAGCTGGGCCCTGGCTGTATTGATTGCATAAAATTATCTGGAAGGCTGCATTAACAACATGAATTTTCAGTATTGATGTTTAAAGCCTGTTGAGCCCCTTTTGGAAATTTCGTGTCTGACTTTTTGCTTCAAAACGAATGCTGCAAACGGGGAAAATGAGCAAAAACTTGGGGAGATGTTTCCTTTAATCAGGCCAATCTTTTCCCCTAAAATGCTGTTACATACCTGTCCTGAAATGTAGGGACAGCCCTGTGACACAGACAGCRCTGGCACCTGCAGAGAGTAACAATAAATTTGATTAATAACAAAGCTCGCTTTTTTCAGAAGTCTATAAAGATATCTCTGCTTAGAAGGACTAAATTAGAATTTCTGGCTAACAAATCCTCCCATGAACACTCTGTTCTCCTTTTTTCAGGGCAAGCATAAAATATGATCTAATTAAACTTTAGTGTCCTGTTGGACCAAAGAATTTCAAGCTTTCTACTCCCTACAGTGTGTTTTTAAGATCTCTCTGCTGTGACTGTACCAGTATAGAGGTGGAGAGGGTACCCCATCCCCACCTCCCAAACTCTCAGGCAGAGATCTGCAAACAGTTTCAGTGATTATTTGTTAGGGAGAGGAAGGCAGGAGCTGGTGAAAAGCTTGATGGTAAAATCCCTGTAGAAAATACAGATAAAATACAAAATACTGCCCTGGAGTGCATGGAAATGAAAGAGAAGAGAAAGAATATATGGAAGTGCTCTGCTTCTCTCTCATGAGTACTGTGCTTTCTGCAGAGACAAACATCCACCTCTCTCCAACTCTCCTCTCTCCACAGTCTTTTCTTTCTCCCTTAATCTTGTTTCCACCAAGGAGGAGGCAGAAAGAAAACAGAGGCAACACAACAACATTCCCCTGTCTTGTGGGACTGCAGTGGAGTTCTTCTTGCTGGGTTAGGACCTACAGCCCAGTCCTGCTCACCCCAATGAGCTCCAACCCCACACACAACCCCATTACAGCAATGCCTTTACCACTCTCAGGGTCCTCTCCYTGCAGCTCCCCAAAGCCCTCGTGGCTGGCCCCACACTGCATCTCGTCCCTCTTGGCCCAGTAGGTGGACAGGTAGCTGGATTCCTCGGTATTCTCAGCGTTCATCACCCCCACAACAACAGATGTGTTGTGCTCAGCCGAGGGAAGGGTGAGCTTTTCGGGGGAATAATCCGTGATAAGGCACATTTCCAAATCCTTGTCATCTTTAGAGGTCAGCCTGTAGACTGAGGGAGATGGATTGACTTCTGCAAGTGGAGAAAAGAAGGGTCGTTAGTTGAGACTACACATTCATAATCCCTTCAGTCCCAACATACAGCCATTAGAAATGCAGGTTTGTCCATTTTTCCAGTGGGAAATTGCCTGATCATTAGGATCTTGTGCTAGTATTGCCTTGATTGGCCAGTTTTAATTATGACACTGACATGRTTAAGGGGATAGAAGGGTTTTATCTTMGTATTTAATGGGATTTCAGGCGCACAACTTGATGGAAAATGTATATTTTCAACAAAATGATGTATATGTTTYCAAAAAACCTATACAAGTTTTATAGATTTTATAAATTACAATATGTRTCTAGAATTTTTTAATAAGAAACTTAATGAATGAATTACTGTTCTGCTATTCTAAAGAATTCCCCCCGGACTAGAGTTTTGTTTACACAATATGTTTTAGGGAGAAGGTTCCAGCTTTCAGGTTTAAGGTATCACAGGGCATGCTGACCCCTTACTGAGGATGTTTTGTCTTTTGCTTGGCAAAACTTCTAAATTAAGCTCGAATATCAGACTAAAAGAATTACAAGCATSTAGGCCAAGGGTACAGGGATACATAAAGGGTACAAAAAAATGTCTAGAAGGATATATAAAATATATAAAAAGGTATATGAAAATAAAATCAAAAATCATTAGGCATGACTAGGACACCTTTAGAGAACCAAAGCATCTACAGCACATGATGCAGAGGTGGGTTCTGTTGACTTTCGCTGTGTGAGAGCACAGAGTGGCCAGCCAGAATTCCTGGAGCGTCTGAAAAGGCTCTTGGACATTCTCACCTGGATGTSCACATCTAACCTGGCCACTCCTCCMTGKGAGAGCTCCTTGAGCTCTGCTCTGCAGCCAGGGATGGGTGGGACACGTGGAGGGGCACCTGAGCASCCTGGGCTGGCAGAARGTGCCCCTGCCCATGGCTGGAGCAKGATCTTWAGRGTCCCTTCTGCSCCAAACCATTCTGAGATTTTGTMATTTTTGAGAGAGCTGAGCAGCCCAGGGCCATTCTGCTTTTTTCTGCAAACATTTAGACAACTCCAAATGCCAAATCCCCCTTCCTCCCACTGTCCTGAGGGGCAGTGAATAAACCACTGGATCTCAAGGGTGCCCACATTTACCCCAGTCTGCTCCCACCACAGTGAGCTCGAGAAGGTGCTGCCAAGCAGGAGCATGGGCTGCACTCAGGGAAAGGAACAGAAGCAAACAAATATTTCATCATGTTCCACCACTTGACAGGGCAGTTCCAAATATTTTTACAAAATTTGACCCTGCARAGAGGGGTTTGAGGCACTAAAGGCTGCAGATATAAGACACCTGGGGCTCATCACTGTTTWGTTGCTTCAAACTCTGCTAGTGAGTCAGTCAGACTGGGATTTTCCAACATGTCAAAACACAACCTGTGGTTAAACCCTTTTTTGCATATTTAGCTTTATAAACYTGTACTCTAAACAGGCATTTAATCTGATTCCATGAGAAGGKGCATTCCTAAATCTTTGTTCMCSGCTGACWGTAAAATGTTCYGGACACTGCAGTGCTCTCRTGATGACTAAATGAAATATCATTAYAGACATACTGGAGACAAAATGCAGATTTGGGGCTCTCAGCAGCTCTGTGGCTGCATTTTCTATTGGCCTTCACAGATTTCAATGCGAGCTTCCGTTCATGTTTATAAACTGATGAAGTGTTATGGTGTAGGATTGAGAGTTTAGATTCATTTTTGTTTTCTCCCTGTTTACACACCTCACTGATAAATATTGTAGAATAAGAAGACAGCTTAGCTCACACATCTCACTAATAAAATTGTAGAATTACTGAAGACAGCTTAGCTCCCAGAGGAAATTTTAATTTCTACCCATGGGGAAGTCTAGAAAGTGTCTCAAAATCTTCTTTATCACTGAAATAAATTTATGGAGCTGCTCTGCTTCTCTCTCATAACAAGTACTGTGCTTTCTGCAGAGATAAACACCCACGTCTCTCCAAATTAGGGTGTTTTTCTCCCTTTCAATCCGTGCAATGCTTTGATCTTGAACACACAAAACAATAAAGTCTGTTTTTCACAGGAAGCTTCAGCAGTTTTGCAAAATACTAATTTCCTGTTCTTACTCAGAGCATTGGCTGCCTCGTTCTGTGCTGCAGCCTGGTTCCTGTAAACCCCTTTGGTATTTGCACACTGCTGTGAAAATTTGCAGATAGTTCTGGTAGATACCATCCACTCCAACCACAGCACTGGGACCTGCTGTTSTGTCCTCATGAGCTGCTGCCTGTGCTGGAAATGCTGTGTATTCATGACTCTATTTACAGGAAAGAGTGAGCAGTAAATAATGATCCTCTGAGCTGTCCATGCTGCCTAATTTTATCTTCACTGAAGGATGTCTTGCAGGTGGAAGAAGAGGACCTGTTGGAATGCTATTTCTGCCCATTTTACCAGCCAGGGGCTGATTTCAGGGAGGGAGCAGTAGAACCCTGTTCCAACATCACAGTGAGACCTGTGTCTTTTTTTCCCCCCTCCAAACAAGCTGCAGTAGAAATCCTGAACTGGTTTAATTCCCATCTGGTATCATACAGAAAATGATCTCATTCTCCATTCCTTCCAAAGCAAATTATCTGAATCTCTGGTCAGACTGGAATTGGTGTGACAGAATCTTTGATGCTCTCACCTTTCCTCAGCCTGAGACATGATATTCCACAGCTAGAGACAGCCTGGAGCCATTGCCCAGCTCTGGGACACCTGTACCCCCTGCACAATGACCTTGCCTCCAGAGGAGCAATTCCAATGGATTAACAAGGCTTTAGTGATGTTTTCTGTCTGTCCTCCAAAAGGTCTACAAGAAGCCCTCTGTGAAAGCTATCAGCCCTGCACAGGTGCTGGGATGGCTACAGCAAGACCAGATGAACACGTTTAGGACAGGAACCCTTCCTAGACCTTCCAGACTCAGTCTGGAGACACTCAGGTGACAGGAGCAGGTTCTAGTCCAGTATTAACCAAGTCATCCAAAGTGCTGGGGAGAGATTCAGTGTTTGCAAATGTGAATATGCTGCTTCACTGACAGTTGCATGGAAACAAAAATAAACTTGAGGTAGCTACTCAATAGAACTCTTGTCATTTTCACTAAATGCTTTTCCATGTTTTTTTGTCCAAAATCAGACTTGTTTTCAGTTGCCAGGTCAAGTTTTCTATCTTATACAGCAGAGATTTTGTTTCTAGAAAAAAACTTCTTTGAATCATATGATTATGGATTTTAAAACAGAAAGATCATGAAAGATCATTGTCATGGTTCAAACCACGACAATCATGATCATCACATTCTCTTAGACATAGAAAATCCAGTCTCTAAGCCCTCAGTCAGAAGAACCTCCAGGCACCATGCCATGACCATTAAACCTGTGTGAGCATCACCACCTTCTCCTGCTGTTCTGTCCTGCACTGGTCACTGCCACACCACAGACAAGCACCCCTGCATTCCAACACATTGTCTCTATTCCAACTGGCTTCTGTCACAGGAAGCTGAAAAGAAGTTGGAATATTCTTCCATGAAATCCCTGRTCCATCTGCCCAATAAACAAATGATTTTCCAGTCCTGGAGTTAAAATGGAACAGAAAGTTCGAACTTACTTGGGGTAACAACAAGCTGTGTCCCAGCTCCAAATGTGAGTTTCCTGTATCCCTGGTTGGCACACTGGTGCCAACCTCTACAAAAATGTGGGCAGGGGTTTGCAGTGCAAACTGGGAGCCAGGTCAGCAGACAATCCCGAGCAGGGGATGACTTAAGGGAGTGATGATGAAACATTTTGACTTGAGATGCTATCAAAGTACCAAATAAATCTACTAGAAAATTATCAGGATCAGAAACACAGAGATCAAATAAAAACAGTGTTCATTCAGTCACTGGTTACAGTTGTGTGGTGTTACATCCTTTGGGGCAATACAAGGAATGATCTGCTTTTCCACCTGTAACATCACCTAAAATTCCAGTTCACTGAGCCACGCAAGCCACAGCTTTTCTCCTATTTACCRCCCACTGGCCTTGATCACCAGCAAGGCTCTTTTTCCTAATGTCAGTTATACCCCTCTGCATCCCCTTAACTCACAGGACCCTGGAAACCTTTTTCAGGACCGTGTTTGCCTTGGTTACAATTATGCCTTTACAAGTTTCAGTGGCACACTGGGCCCCTGTCTAGCTCTTGGAGCAGTCTGGTAACTCTATTTCTTGGGAATTCTGTCTCTCAGCTGTGCAGAGCCTGGAGCATTCCAAATGGCCCTGCTGGTGTGACAGCTCGGCAAACCTGCATGTCMCAGCCACAAACAGAATCCCCTTGTGCTAAGGGTCACCTTCCCATCCTTCCACCAAAATCATTCAGTAATTAACTTTGCTTCTTGCCCTCTTTTCAAATATCTATCCCACCCTTGGTTTTAAGGCTGGTCACACTGTTCTCCTCACTTATAATGTGCTCCCAGCTTCACCTGGATGTTGCAGGGCAAGGWAAATCCCCAGGACTCAACACAAGCTGGCTGTGATACAAACTTGGTGTCATTCTCAAGGCTAAACTGCCTGAGCTTGCTCTTTTGTGTTTATAGAATGACACAAACCCCCTAAGGTCACAGCTCAAGGATCTCCAGAGACCCAATATCTCTATTTCTTGCTTTGATATACAGTTATGAGTCTGGTTATTGCCAACTATTTCTATCCACATACTAGAAAAGTCCATTTTTACCTACTACAGCTTTATGAAACCAGTTCCACCCCTCTGCATTTTGCTGGTCTGTGCTGGCTTTCACCATTTTGCTTTGCTTCTCCTCTGCCAGGGGAGCTCAATTTAGGAGCCTCTTTCTGTTGGCTTTCCCAGAAAAATCCTCTTGCTTATGTAAAACTCCTGCTATGTTCATTCCCAGGAATAGGAAGGGGAGAATTTACTTGCAGCCATGGAAATCACTTGCTCTCAAAACCTGTTGTAAATTCACAGTTCGGTTTCTAATATATTAT